CCTCAGACACCCGCACCTGTGACCTTACCTCAAGATTGGTAGCTCTCTTGGTGAATATGGCAAGGGCCTTTGTGAAAAGTTTTGGGCCATCAGCGTTTGAGTCGAAGGGGATAATAAGAAATGTACTGCCCTCTCTTCTAGACTCTTGGATTTTCACAAATTTGCCCCATTTATTGGAACCAATGGAAAGGTCTAAGGTTCTATTGTCCTCAAACTTGGACACTGCCCTACAATTAGGCTGTGAGAAAAACGGAAGGGAACCCAGGATCCAATTAATCGTGTCCAAATCAAACCAAATGTGATATCTTCTAGCTCCGAAATCAGAAATGCAGAAGTTGTGATTGTAGATGGAATAAAAGAGCTCAAATACCTTATTATGAGTCTGAAATTTGAATCTGATGTTTCGGGTGGTTGTTGTTGAACACTCTGCAAATCCATTGAAGCGTAATCTCGATTCACTGTAGACATACCGGTCGTGCTTTCCCTTAAAGAGGGGGTCTTTGAAAGGCCATTTATGCTGTCGTTGATGAGAGGGGGGCTTCGGAAGGCGATGAATGATTCGGTTCCTTTGGAATCCATCGCATCGGGCATTGCTCCTAGTATATCTTGAGTGACTACTGTTATTTGCCTGAAGATTAGGTTTGCCGATGAAGGAAATTGATGGCCGCCGGACTTGATGGGAGGAGTACAGGAGATCGCCATTGAATCCGATATTGAGGCCTCGGTGGTTGAAATCGCCAGGAAAACGCCGGTCGCCGCTCCTCCTTCTCTCTAGAAACGCCATCTCATATATATATATATATATATATATAGACACACACACACACATATATATATATGCTTAATTAAAATGTGGTCTTACACGTTAAAACCTTATTCAAGAATACTAAACAGGGTTCCGTTGCATTCCTAAAGAGGAAGGTATAGTTTATCACAAATCCAATATCTTACGGTACAGGACTGCAATTATTATGAAGAGAGCTACGCTGAAGTGTCTAAGTAAACATGTATCTAGGTGTACACAACTTTACCCCATAAAAATTAGAGGGACCATTTTTATAAGACCTTTGGTGCATTTACTGCCTAAAACTTCATGCAAAGTAAGAAGCAAGGAAGGTTAAAGTGCCATCTTTTGATGTAGTCCATTATAGATCTGAAGCTAAAACATTGTCCAAAATGAGTCTTGACAATGAAGGCAGCATGTAATATATAGCAATCCGTATAAAACCGAGCACAAAAATATTTATCAGAATGGAAGGCCAAAATCATGTATTCTTCATTGCTATTCATCAGAAGCAATGACTAGATACCAAACCAGCTCCAAACAAGAGCATAAACACAAACAAAACAAGCAGTTGTTCCACAAATAGATTACGAAAAAGAAGGAAATAGACACTGATAGAAGAGAAACAGTACTCTTTGAAAGTGAATCCTGCTACTCCCATTTGCCCCGGTTCAGAGACTTTTATCAGCCACCAATCGCTCAAATACATCTGCAAACTTGTGCTTGTAATTATAATTGTGTGTACTCAGGAATACTGAAAGCGGCGCACAAGTAACTATGCATTAAGAAATGCATACCTCTTTCACATAGGGCAAACTGATCGCTATAGAGTTAGGACGCGAATTATTGGTAGGATCTCCGGATTTCTCCATCTCAAATTCTGTTTGGGATTTAGAGTGTATATTGCAGTTTCATAGGTCTAAAAACTGGACCGGACCACACTGAAACGAAAGCGTATGGATCAAATCGGTCCAGACTCAAAGGATTGAATCCAAGCCAAAACAACTGGTTTCAGATTTCAATTCTGGTGGAAAAATGTAGTACAATGGACTTCATAAACCAGAGTCCAAACACATACTGATATATTTAAGCTTGGGTTTGGAAAGGGAGGGGAGTGGACTGGTCGAGTATATGGAGGAGGATGAAGGGTTGATTTTTAAGATGGTTTAAAGGCATAAGAATAGGGGAGAAAAAGGGGGATACTGGTTGTGCCTTTTAGGAGGGCCGAAAATTTGGAAGGGAAAATAAGAGGGGAAAAGGGATAAAAACCAAGTAGGTTTTAAGAGATATAACACACTCTTATCCTCACTTGGGGTTTGAGTCTAGAATTTAATTAAGATATTACACACTCAATTAAATAACTAGAACCTAACACTCACACTTAAGGAAACCAACCTTAAGATATAGAAATTAGGATTTGAAAACAGAATACAACCAGTGTATTTCTATCTTGAAATGAAGAATAAAAATCTGAGCATTACAATAGGCCTATGGCCGAAATTTAAAGGCACTCATACAAAGGAAAATACTAAGCTATTTCTTCCACAAATCCTAGAAAATGCAGTCATGTGCTTGAGTCCTTTCATGGAATAAAATCAGGGAAAATGGGGACAGGGATTCATGAATGAATATTCATGAATGGAAGGGGATTTTCGGCCATATTAGAGGGCAAAATGGATGGGTGATGTGTTGGGTATTTTGGCTTGGCTAGTGAGGTGAATATTTGGTGGTTGGG